ATGTGGTGCATGCCTGTAATCCCATCACTCAGGAGGCTGAAGCAGGAGGATTGCTGTGAGTTCAAGACCAGCCTGGGCTACATAGTGAGTTCCAGGTCAGTCTGAAGTACGTAGTGAGACCCTGTCTCAAAAAACAACAAACAAACAAAAACCTGAATCTCATAACATGGTGACTCTGGAAATCAGATTCTCCCTACCCCTTTCCTAGTAAAAACCTGAATCTCATATCATGGTGACTCTGGAAATCAGATTCTCCCTACCCCTTTCCTAGTACTGTATTCTAGGGTTAATTTATTTACTTTTTGTTGTAGGCTTTCTCTTATCGAAGAGCACTTTGAAATATAAAATTAAGGTCTTCTCATTTATATTCTGAACCTGCACCTTTCCTTGGGCTATCACTGTGACTTTTTCTAACTTTCTCCGTGTGCCTGGTTGCTTTTGAATGTCTTAACCTTTAACATCTGGCTCACAAATAGGAAAAAGTAAAAAGTGAAGGGTGAGGGGTGTCAGCCTTTTGAATCACCTGGACATCACTCCAGCTAGCAGTCAAGAGGATCATAACAATGGATGAAATACAGCAAAACTGGCCGTCTGCCCTTTTGTCTATATTTCTGTGATTAGAACTAGTAATTATTCATGAGAGCACAGGTCCCTAATTTTGGGAGCTTGTTTGGAGATTCTAGCAGGGTGGCGCAGCTACTCATGTACCCTTGATGAAGGAAATGGTCCTTCTCTATCAGGAGTGGTTATATTCTTCCAGTGCACAGCTTCAGAAGGGATGCACATGGAGTGGTGAGGGAGGAAGGAGACACCCGCCTAGCCAGCCAGATCAGCTGAATCAACCCTTGCTTGGGGTGACAGATAAAGCAGCCAGATCACCCTCACATCCCAGGTCTCTACTTTTGGAAGCCACCATTTGTTTTGCCTAGTCTGGCTCCTACACAGAGAATTGCCTTCTATAGGGATCGGGGTAGGGCATGGGTAGTTGCTACTGAGCTAAAAGCTGATATTGACCAAAATTAACACTCTACCATCTCAGCCTTCCATTGGAAGTTGTAAGCTTTCAGTAGCTACCATAGTTCCAAAATACTCATATCAGGTGGATTCTACCAATGCAATTGTTGTCTAGGTAAGGAGATAAAAATCTTTTATGTACCTCCTATTCTGACACTTTCCCAGAAACCCATGGAATCTACTTCTTTTTGAAGCAGATTTTTAAGTAGACTTTTAAGGGGAGACAAAGCATAGTTCTTGATCTATAACTTGAGGGAACGATAGAAACACAGAGGTAAAAATATTGGTAGGTTAAGGAGAAATAAGAATTTATAGGATAATTCACGATTGTTTTAATCTCTGTATAGTGAGAATCTAATATGAGTAATTTGTAGGTAAGAAAGATTGTCTTATGAAGAGCAGTGGTTTGCAAAATTCTTGAAGAATGATTCAGAGAGTGAAGATTTTTAAAATTCTTTTGGACATGGTGGCGCACACCTGTAATTTCAGCAACCTCAGAGGCATCACAGGAGCATCACAAGTTTGAGGCAAGCCTGTGCAACTTAGCAATACTCAGTCAACTTAAAATTTTAAAACAGAGCTGGGGATGTAGTTCAGTGGCAGAACACTGGCCTAGTATATGTAAGGCCCTGGGTTCAATTTCCAGTACTGAAAAATTCATATCTAAATTTTAAATTTGGAGTGTCCTAGGTTTATATAGATCTACACTGAATTGTAATCCTGGGCTGTAGAATTAAATGTGAATTATTGATTACAAAATTATCAGTCTTTTTTAAAGAAAGTTAACAATTTTAAAAGTAAACTCAGGTTTTGAGTTTTACACATTGTATTTGTTGTTGACCCTGAACCTACTGTTGTTTATTTGACAAGAGAAATAAGAAAAAGAGCAAGAGGGCCAGGGATTTAGCTCAGTGGCACTGTGCCTGTCTGGCAAGCAAAAGGTCCTGAGTTTGATCTCTGATACCAAAAAAAAGAAAAAAGAAAAAAGAGCAAGAACCAGAACTCAGTTGCATCCTCCAATAATAGCTATTGTTTTAGTTACTTCCTCATTGCTGGGACAAAATACCTGACACTCACAAATTGAAGGAGGAAAGGTTTATTTTAGCTCACAGTTTGTAGGGGTTTCACTCCATAGTCAGCCGGCTCCAAGGCACAGTAACATGGCAGAGGGGCATGCAGAGAAGAAACAGTCTGTAGTTTAGAAGACAGGAAGGCAATAAGCCTACCTTCTTTCTGTCTCTTTATAATCCATCCAGGCTACAAGCCTGTTGCTTAGTTCTAACCACACCCAGGGTGGAGCTTCCCCTTTCAGTAAATACATTCAGCCACACACAAAACTCTGCTAATCCAGTTAAAGGACTAATCCAGATATTACACACCCTAGATCCAAACCACCTATGAAAAGCCCCACCTATGAGTGCATGAGGCTTTGGTGGAATATCTAGATACAAGCCAAAACATTTTGCCCTGGCCTCCAAAAAATTCATGTGCAACCCTTACAGAAAATGCATTTAGTCCATCTTGAAGAGTTGCCAAAGTCTTAACAGTTTCAATATTGCTGAAAAGTCCAAGTCAGAATTCTCTGAGATTTAAGGCAAACTCTTAGCTGCAAGCCTCTGTAAATATGAAAAGAAAATTAAACACTTCCAACATACAGTGGCACAAGATAAACATTACCATTTTAAATAGGGGGCTGGAAGAGAATGGGGCTGAAACAAGACTGAAATCCAGTAGGACAAAAAATAAATCCCATAATTCCATGTCCAGTACCTGGGCAATTTGTAGCAAGATGTATACTCCAAAGGTCGTATTTGAGTGGCTCCATCCCTGTGCCACTGCTGGTGATTGTAGCTCTTGTGGCTTTCTCTTGGGCCTCCTTTGCTCACTCCTTGTGGCTTTCCTCTGATGAACCACATTCCTGGCTTCTGCAACCTTCTGGGATTTCCACTGCACCTTCAGCTTTACACTCACTATTTCACACACTGCTCTTTTAAGGTCACACTTTCTGACCTAGGCCTTCTGAGATCTGGGTAGAAGCTTTCCTGACCCTACAACTCTTGCATTCTGCATGTGCCTAAAACCAGCATCATATGGATGACAGACACCAAGGATGGCAGCTAGAGCTGTAGCCGGGCTTCCTTCTCTCTTGGACATAAGGGTTGAGTGCCTGGATTGCTGAGCACTATGGACCTAATCCTGAGGAACACATTTATCTAGGCCATTACCATTCTGGAGCACAACACTCTGGCTTTCCTCTCAAAGCAAAGTTTTTCACTTTTGAAATTTTGAGTCTGTAAAAAGCAGAATTTTGGTTGGTTCTTGTCATGCCCTCGGGTCATCGTTTCTATTGCCCTCTTCTGAAATACTTGGCTTTTTATTGCTAAGCTTTTCAGCAACCAAGTTCTCCTCCTTTTTTTTTTTTTTGCAGTAGTAGGGTTTGAACTCAAGACCTTGTGCTTGTAAGGCAGGCAGCAGCCCTACTAAACTTAATCCCTGGCCCTCCTCTGTTCTATCTTGTAGGCCACAGTTTTACTGGAGTTTTCTTTCTGGCCAGACTAAAAACTTTTTAAATTATTCTGCTGGACCCTTTGCTCTTGATTCTCAACATTGATCTGGCTTAAAGCCCCCAACAGTAGCCATACTACCACCTCAACATTAGACTGCCTTGAAATTTCTCCTGCCAGATTAGTCTCCTATCCTGAAGTTTCTCCAGACATGAGCAAAATGTAGACAAATTTTCTGCCAGAACATAGCACACATGATATTGAGTCCTTCTTCCCAACAGAAACCATCTGAGCCTGGTGTTTGCCACTGGCATTTTTATCAGCATTCTGGTCTTCTGAGCTCTGACTAGAATCTCCCATCAAATGCAGCTTACAGCATTCCAGGGCTGTTTGTTCAGCAGGCATCTCCAAACCTTTCTAAGCTCTTTCTACAAGCCAGTACCAAAGGCTTCTGAACAGTATGGTCAGGTAGTGTCACAGCAAGGACCCCACTTCTCTGGTACCAAAATCTGTTTTAGTTACTTTGTTATTACCAGGACAAAATACTCAACACTCACAAGTTGGAGGCTTATTTTAGCTCACCATTTGTAGGGGTTTCATTCCATAGTCAGCTGGCTCCACAGCAGGGTAGCATGGCAGAAGGGCATAGCAGAGGAGAAATAGTCCATAGCATAGCAGGCTAGAAGGCCTTATTTCTGTCCCTTTATATTTGGTCCAGGCTACAAGCTTATTGGTGCCACCCACACCGAGGCTGAGGCTTGCCTCTCACTAGTTTGTTCAGCCACATCCAGAACTACACTACTTGGATTAAGGGACTGATCCAGATGTCACACACCCTTAATTCATTATGCACACACCCTAAATCCAAATACCTCTTGAAAAGCCCCACCTATGAGTGCATGAGGCTCTGGATGAACACCTAGATATGAGCTATAACAGCTGTGTAGTAGATGTTGAAGGGGAATTTTTGCCCATTAGTGCTGTTATCGCTCTAATCAACATTTAGATGCAGAAGCTATAGACATATTAAAGTTAATATTTCGCTGATTTATAGAGTGCTGTATTTGATCATCTGAGTTTTAACTTGATTATGAATTATTTACCAGTTATCTGACAAATAACTCCCTATCAATTTAGCAGAATTTGGCTATGTCATGTCTGAAAAGTGGTTTTCTGTTGTAGTCTCTGACGTCAACTTGCCCTTTCCATGATCCCACAACCCTGAAAATTTGTAGAACTCTACTTTTTAGGTCTTATATCCATTTTATCTTTTGAACTAAAGTGGTTATTCAATAGTATGACTTTGTTAATATGATACATAGTTTTCAAAGTCAGTAGGCCCCCATCTTAGCTTCTTAATGTGTATATGTTCCAAACTATGCTGAATATTCTAAATTGTTTTTATTAAATGGGGGCTTCTCAAAAATGGAAAAATTATTCAACAATGCTGAACCTTGACATTTCTCTTACATTTTCTTTCAGACTTACAATAAATGCCCTTGCTCAGAAGCTCAATGCTTATTGGAAGGAAAAGACATCTCAAGAGAAATGTGAAACTTCAGCTGTAACCAGGCCAGTAACATAAGTAATAAAATATATCATATGTGAAAGTATTAAGGGTAATGTCCATAGACCAAATGGAGACAACAAGGGTAAAATGTTTTTTACACCAGAAAATTTAATCAGCCAAAAATGAGAAAACACAGGTACTAATTGCTTCATTTTCTAATCCTCTTCATTCTTGTTTAACACTTATGCAGTTTGGATCATAAATGTGAAGAATTTAGTACTGTCGATTTAATAGAGGCAGTGTAATATAGAGGCAGATGATGACCATTTAAATTAGACCCAATCTTGGGTCTTTTCACCACAATCCCAGGTGTAAAGTCAACATCTGCTTCTTAATAGTTGGATGGACTTGAATAAATAATTTACTTCACTTCTGGCACAGTGCCTGTCATAGAGTAGGTATTCAGACACGTTAGCAAATTTCCCTTCTTATTCCTACAGAATATTGTTGGAAGTGAACTTGTATTTCAGAAGAGAAACAGAGAACCCACCATATTAGAGACAAGGTAGAATTTGCATCTAATATAGGGAATTACACACTGAATGGGATGAAATGCATCAGTAAGTCAGAAAAGGAGTATAATACAGAGGACAGAATGAATATCAACACATACAATTCCAATTACATCACTGTCAAAATAGAGATTAGAGTGTTTAAAGTTCATTTGGGAAGGAGAGTAGCAGAAGGGGAAGTAAAATTGATCAAGATGTGATATGTATATGTACCAATTCTCCATGCTGAATGTATTTATTATGTGTCATAAACATACTAATAATTGAATAAGTAGAAATTGAAATCAACAGCTATATGTTTATTTCATCCTTATTCTAAGGATCTCAATTTATGTCCATCCTCTGTGGCTTTCAAAGAAATGCAAATTAAGATGCTCTTTTTATCTTTCAAATTAGCAATGATTAATGCAGTGAAACAAATATTATATACTGATAGTGTAGTACTAGAGACAGAATTGTAATTCTGGTATTTATGAGTAATTATATGTTGGATATTGTTCTAAGTTCTTTACATGTAATTTATTTAATCATCACAATAAGTCTTAAAATAGATTATTTCTTTATAGTTGTAGAGACTGACATACAGAGAATTTAAGTAACTTCCTCAAACTTAGCAAGCAGAAAATGATAGAGCCAAGGTTCAAATATAGGCAGTCAGGCCCCTAAACTACAGTTCTTAACCACTATATGCTTTGCAGAAAAAATAGAGAGGAAATACAGTATGGCTCCCTCAACTTCCTATTTAATGCAAACCTGAGTTAAAAGCCTCTCCTGCCTGCCTGGAATGAAGGATCCACCATGATCCACATGTAACCCAAAGCAGAAAGTCACTGTCATTATGTATTCTTGTCTCTGAGGGCACAAAATTGACATCTTTTTGTAGGAGACTCCATATATATGGATGTAAATCCAAAGCTAATATGACACCCCACCCTGTAAACTACTTTTTGTTGACTGTGGCTCTAAATGAAACAGTATCTGTGTGAAAATGTGCATGGAAATCAGAGATCAAGCCCGAGCTTAGAGCTTAAAGGTTGCAAGTCTGAAGCAGACCAGACCTAAGAGATAGGAAGCTATGGGTCCAAAAATGTATACAAACCATCTCCATTAAAACAGTTGTAACCTGGTGAGGTAGGTGGTGCACTCCTGTAATCCTAGAACTTGGGAGGATCACCATGACTTCATTGCCAGCCTGGGCCACAAAACTGAATTCAACTTGAACTATAAGGCCAACCTGAAATACACAGACAGACCTTTTCTCAAAAAAGAAAAAAAAAGAATTTTAAAAAGAAAAAGACATTGGGGCCAGGGATTTAGCTTAGTGGTACTGCCACCTGCCTCGCAAGTGGAAGGGCTTGAGTTCGATCCCTGGTACCTTAAAAAAAAAAGACATTGTATTTGAGTGGTAGAATTATGAGTGCTTTGTGTATCTTCCGTTTTTCTGTGATGAGATTTTATGATTTATAACTAGGGAAAAAAGAATCATTTAAAATGATAAGAAAAGCACTAAACCAAGGGTTAAAAGAACCACACTGTTCTGTAGAAATATCTATAAAAACAGTGTAAGTTTAACAATATCTTATATATAATATATA